CTCTCTCTCTCTCTCTCTCTCTCTCTCTCTCTCTCTCTCTCTCTCTCTCTCTCTCTCTCCCTCCTTCTCTCTTGCTTTTTTTCTCTTTCTGACAGTAACATTGCATTAAACTTGCATAAACATATGACGTAAGCAAGATTCGGAGAATTATTTTAAAATATAACAATTAGCACCAAGAAGCAATGAGAGATAATAACGAATAACAAAGATACACAGGCAAGAACATAAACATTGTATGGCACAGAAACTTGAGAAAGTGAGTAAATAAGAAAAGAGACTGAAGGAGGTTTTCTACAAAAGATGTCTAATAATAAGAGAAGACCCTCGTTCAAGACGAAGTCAAGGAGAATTCTGTTAATTTCCTTTATCTCTCACTTCTTTAATTCCAAACCATTACTCCATAATTATTCTCTTTACCGAAAAAAAACTATTTTTCCACAAGCACATACACCCTCCTTTTGACTCTCACTATACACTTCAAGCCTATTTTTTGTTATGTACATTATGCCAGGGATTTATTTCCTTACCCCCTCTGTTGGTCCCAGCTTAATTCTCTCCGTTATAATATTCTCAACGATATTGTCCCTCCTTTTAAAACAGAACGTTAAAATCTACCGTGATGTTTAAATGTTGAGAGATTAAGTGAACTTTCATTTTTAGAGAAAGGTGGTACATGTATAGCTTTCATTCCATTAAAAGTGTTGTTTTCATCTTTCTGAAAGTCAATAACGAGCATCGATTTCGTTCCAGTCTATTGAAAATCAAATTGAAGTCTGAATTTCCAGGATGAGAATCAATTTTCTTTTTAAACAATGTTGGGAATCAGGTTTACTTTCAAATACTGCAAATACGATAATATAATATTCTCCTCTGCTCATTATGTGGAAGTACTTCGTAACATCATACTCAGTAAAAGTAAAGAAAGTTATTCCCGCATCCAATCCGGACATTTGGGATTCCCTTGCTAGTGAGACTACTTCCTGAGCCTTCAGCATATTGTGGTAGGGTAGCCAGTTCCTTTCCACGCCGCCTTTGCTTCCCCAACTCGAAATCAGGTACTCATTACAGCTGGGTGGGCAGGAGGGGGCGAAAAAATCCGTGTCCGAACCGAGGCTCGAATCCAGACTTTCCGTTTCTGAGACGAGCACTCTAACCGATCCGCCATCGCACCCCCAATATATTCAGTAGACACATCATATTCATAAACAACCAAGACATTCGTGGATACAATAAATAACACGGTGGCAAAATGATACCTTATGCTGCTTCACAGGCCTACATAAATATTTGCGAAGCATGAACTACAATAGTAGGTTGAATGACATCATCGTGGTGGTAAAAGTATTGGAAACCATAAAAATATCACATCACTAGAAGGGTCATATCAACAGTGAGCAGCATAGCTGCTTCGTACAAGAGCATTTAAATTCATTTAGGGTTATAAAAATACTTCACAAAGATCAAGGTTGTGTCACCACACGTGACAGTCGATCCTGACCCGGATATTGAGGCACCTGAAAGTTCCTCTGCAAAAATCGCTCTCGCATTGTAGCGTCAGTCTTACCCCATCCATTGAAACCACGCGCTTTTCGTCGACTAAACTGCCTTGCCAAGGTGCCCATCCGATACCTGTTGGAGCTACCGGCGCGACTCATCTGCCTCTGTAGACGACCGAGCCGATGCTCCAGCATATTGTCCAGCTGTGGGAAGTAGCCTGGGTTGGCTGGCCGCCGCGGGTAGTAGTCAGACCACACCTAAAGACATGCAGAAAATGTAAGCAAGACGAAGTAATCTAAGAACCTCTGTGTGTGTGTGTGTGTGTG